AATGCTGACCAGCACTACCTCAATACCTTCCCCCTCGTATAGGGAAGATATACCCAATGGTAGTTGTACAGAAGCCCTCTCCACTGCACAGCTACCTGAGTCAATCCCATGCTCCTTATGAAAGGTAAACTTTACACAAGAGTGCCTCCAGCATATGGAGGCAACGTATGGAAGATAAGTTTTTTCCCATGGAGATAAATGTCTCAATCTAAATGGACTATCTGAAGGTGCTGGCATCTTCCTTCTCTAATGAGATCCGTACTAAAATCAACATAAAGAACTTCGGCCCTCTCCCCAATCCACTCCTATGCTTCTAAATATTGACTGTGCATCAGTAGATCAGCAACCAAGCATTTTGGATATGAAAATCAAATTAAAAGTTGTTTTTTTTTTAATTGTTGGTTGCTTTATTTTAAAGAAACTTCCACCATTCATTTTTCTGGGCAGTCTTTGTGTTTGCTCTTCTAAAACACAATGCTGTGGTATCTTGGAGTTTCTGAAGTGGCAGTGTAGGCACTGTACTCTTATGTTTCATTGAGTGCTCGTTCAAAACAGCTGTATGTTCTATATAAAACATGTTTACATAGTAAATGTACTTCCTGTAGACACAAAGAAACGTTAATGAATAACCATTCCCACATTTCAAATTTTGCAGGGCTGTGGGAAGGATCAGTGCATGACAAAATAGTTAATGTTCACCCACTTTCTGGCACATGAAATCTGTTACTACAACTAATCCCTTACAGAGAAAAGAAAACATGGAAAACAAACTGGCACAGGCTGGTTCTACAATGCCTTTTTTTTTTTTTCTTTTTTCTTTCTCTTTTTCTTTTCTTCTTCTCTTTTTTTTTTTTTTCGGAAGAGAAACTCTGAGATGCATATACATGGGAGGGGAACAGAGGAGGCATTCAGTGAAGAATGCCAGAAGGCATGGACTCCTTTTGGTAGGCAAGACAGTTGGTTTTAATTGTATACGTTGTCTTAGATTCTCACCTTCAGAAAAAAATGCCAGTTTGATCTCCCACAGCATTCATTACCCATATTTACATCCTTTTGTCTGGGGACCAGGAAAGGCAAACAACAGGTATTCTCCTTTCAGTCAGTTTCTATCTGAAAAACTTACATGACTTATAAGATTCCTTAAGCAACAGATACTCATTTATCCTTAAAAATTTAGAAAAGGCTAGAATCAAGTAATTCAAGTTAAAGCACTGCCCCTGAAAAGCCTCAAAAAGAAAACTGATTTCTTCTCTACAGTGAAGTTCTTTCTCAAACACAAACATTAAAAAATAAGTTTAGTATATAGCCATGAAGTCCTCTATATGATCCCCACTTTCTTATGAAGTAAACCACTCAGTCAATTATGTTTCTCTATAAAGCAGTTTTATCTGAAATGCACAACTCCTACTTACTGTCCCCTCAAAATACGCGAGTTAGGTAGGAGCCAATTCATTTCAAGGGAAACCCAAAGGACAGGAGACAAATCCTGAGAGGAATAAAAACTCTGCACTGAAGTAGATGGGGGACAAGAACAGCTTATGCCAGGAATCTGCTCAGCATCTGCAGACTAATTTATGAAAAAAAGGTGATAAGCGCTACAAGGACCAGATGCATTAATGTACTATAAGGCAGAAACAAGCTTTGTTGGGGCCGTTCCAATATTTCTACATAAGATTTCACAGCATAGAAAAAAAATTTCTACATGCGAATGAAAATCTTTTTTAACTGTAATCTCTCTGCAAAGTGCTACTGTGGACATGGATTGCAAAGGCCACCCAACAAGCAATGCTCTACTGTATCTTTTTCACAGTGTGACATACGAATTGCACACTTCAGTTTTAACAGATTGAAAAATCATTACCATGGCAATAAGGCTAAGTCCTCAGAGCAATTCTCTCAATAAACACATTCCTTGACAATTATACATCTTGTACAAAAGATACATTTTGCTCCTGAAATAAGATTTTTTTTCCATGACACCACAGCAATTAACAAAGGATGATCTGGAATCTTTTAGGAATACAATCTCATGTTTTGTAAGAAACAATTTATTAAATTATCTTTATTAACTCATTCTCTGAAACTCCTTGAGGAAAAGGAGGCACAATGAAGTTCTGGCAAAAGTGAAAAGTCCTCAAAACAACACGATGAGTGATGAACATCTACCTAATTACTGGAGAGCAATTTGCAGAATACTTTTTAGGGATGTTTAATTTCTCCAAAAGTGAACTGAAACAAATGAGGACAGAAAAAAAACAAAAATAACCTTCACCAGAAGCAATAGCCACAACGAAGGAAACGCATAAAGAGTAACAAAGCTGATGTTATTAGAAGAAAAATCTATTTCTTTACAGATATTAGATAAGAATACACAGATAAGAACACGAAGAGGTAAGTGAACGTCAGGCAGTGGTGCAATTTTGAGTTACCCAACACCGCCACCATGCGTTAGCTTTAAAGACTGTTTGATGGAAGCATTAGAAGGTAAAGTAAACCAAATTTGTTGCTCTGCTCCCGTATCATACAATAGAAATGACAACCCTAAAATTGTTTTTAAAATCTTCGATCTTTTGAGTTACATTTCTATAAGAACACACGGTGCCGATTCTAAAGCCTCCTTTCATCACAGTGGAGAACAATGACTAGAGAATGAGAGAGAAAAAACACAGTTTGTTTCCACACATGGACTCTTCCATAACTGATGTTTTGTTGTTTCTAACTGCCCAGTTCTATAAGCTACTAGTTCATCATCATGATCATTATAATGTATCACAACCCACAAATATTCACACAACTGCAAGACAGTTGCTTCAGAGAGGAGTTTTTCTTAAAGCTTCTAGGTATATGAGCAAAAACATTCCTATAATGTTGTTGGAGGTCTTCCAAACTCATTAATTTTCACTGGTTTTAACTCAAGAAGCGTAGGATCCCTACTCATATTTGAAAATTGTACCTATTCCAATCTGAATTAAGAGCCTTACAGGAAAAGATCAAGTTTTGGACAGTTCATTTATGAATTCAGTTTGGACAACAACAACAACAGAACACTTGCATTTAAACATGTTTTGTCAGCTTCTGCACACATCTGCTATGTCTTTGGTTATTCCAAACCTCTTTTGCACTCAGTAAAACAGAAGATTCAGAGTCAAGACAGCTAGTATCTTGAAATCCAAGTAACTCCAAGCAGATGGCAAAGATATACAACTGGAGTAGAGAAGTAATTTCAGGTAACTGATAAACAACAAAAACAATCAACTATACCACGTCCCTTGCAATTTCTTCCTCAACGTGCATATATATACTTACATAGAGAACATACAATTATTCTGCAACTCTGTAAGTCTTGTAACAGCAGGAAGACGCCATAAGCCCAGTATGTAGCTCTACTGAAACTGTCTAAGATTATAATAGCATCAAGTCAGAATTAATTGGATTGCTTCAGCCTGTTCCAAATTTGGACATCAATAGGCGGTAGCAGCAATCCCATCAGAGAACTTCAGAGGTAGGAGAAACATCTTTGACAAAACTGCTAGATGTCCATCACATTTGTTACCATAGATTTAAAACATCAAATCACAACTATGGCATTAATTACTAAAGGAGAAACTGTCAGCGTGCTCTTTCCTCAGTAAATGCAGAGGAAAAGAAAAGCATGCAAGACCATTTTAGCAAAGTTCAAATACGGGAAGAAAAAGTCACATTGAAAATATTCATCTATGGTCTATAAGGTGCTTTTCTGTGCACAAACACTTTCAACATGGAGAAGGGGAGATTCAGGTTGGACATTAGAAAATACTTCTCTGAGAAAGTGGTCCAGTGCTGGAATGGGCTGCCCAAGGAAGTAGTGGAGTCACCAACCCTGGAGGTGTTCAAGAAACATTTAAATGTTGTACTGAGGGACATGGGTTAGTGGGAAACATCGGTGATAGGCAGATGGTTGAACTGGATGATCTTAGAGGACTTTTCCAAACTTGGTGATTCTATGAAAGTTTGTTATCTATTCATGTACTTTTAAAATGCAGTGAGTTTAAAATTATTAATCTCTTTCCTATAGCAAATACATAAAGATTTAGTAAATTTTTGCCATATAATACTTATGAACAAAGCAAGTGTCAGAAGTGCAGGTAAAGTCAATGGATAGAAAAGGTACCTTCAAAAACGTAATTAGACCTTCCACTACAGCTGAAAAAAAAAAAGCTGAAATTCCAGACTGTGGCTCAAAGACTGCATTAGATTAACTATGCCTAGCTTTAATTCTATTTTTCTCTAGTTCTCACTTCTCCATATGATTTAGTTCTATAGTGACAAAAAAACATGGAAACTGATATAATTAAATTTAAAAAAACAATAACAGTATGGTGCGAGGGTAGCATAAAGGAAGCAATATGATCTCAGTTTAGATCTGCCCTCCATACCAAATACACCAATAATTTTCTCCTTATGAGAATGTCAAGAAACATTGCAAAGAATCTTACTGAAATGTGATTTGAATCTCTAATCCTTTGCATACCCAAACGATCTCTGGATATTATCCTCTGGTCTTACACTCCATACCAGAAAGAAATAGAGACAGGAGGTCTCCTATGAATCTGTTCTTAAATTGATGCATTTCTTTGAAATTCTATTCTTTGAGGATTAGAAAGGGGCAAGAACAGATTTTGGAAAAAAAACAAAAACCTAAAGAATCTTGTGTCCAACAAGAGGACAATTTTTTGTACCACAATAAATGTGTGCCTATGAGTATGTATGTTAGTATTCATATTTAACCTATATGAAATTAATTCATTAACTAGATTTGTATTGGGAACGAGTAGATGCTATTAAACAAAATAAACATTGTGCATGATCTGAGTCTGTTTTGAACTAATAAAAACAATCACACTACCAAGGAATACAACTTAACGCTAAATACTGTGCTATTCATTGTGTCTTAATATGTTGATCACAGTATTTGGTACCATTTCTAGTGTATTTCAGCAACATAAAAAAATCTTCTGGCATTTAAAAATTTTCAGAGTATTTATTCATATTCTTAGATACTTACAGTGTAATAAAAATCTTTTTTTTTTTTTTAAAACCAATCTACAAAATACATTATATACTTGAAGTAGAACATGCACCATCCTGACCTGGTTCACATTCAACCTTTTTCAGTGAATTTGATGAACAGCCCATTCCTCAGAAGCCTGATCTTAACTCTGCTGTCAACAGCCTTAGAATAGAAATAATGACTTTTGCATCCAAAATTTTACAATGATGAAGTTTGCTTTTAAATCTTAGACTTGACAAGCATGAGGACTCCAAAGCATTTAAGATATAACAACGTCCAAATAACATTAAAAGTATTTATGTAGCTGACTGTATCAATGTCAGCTTTCCATCACTGAATTTCCTTATTTTTAACAAAGCCTTATTTGTTAGCTGTATGGTTTCATCCCACTTGTTTTTCTCAAGGCTTGTGTATGTCACCAAGTTCTCAGCATACTGCAAGACTGACTTCAAAAACCTATAAGAAATAAAAAGAGAAGTAAAGCTCATTAAAAGGACATTAAAGGAGAAAAGGACCTCAATGCCTGACTTGAAGTTGCTACTTTCTCCAAACTTCCAAATTTCCCTCAGGATGACCAACACATTAAAGTTCATTCTACTTTTGGAAAATAACCACTCCTTCATTCCAACAGCAAGAAGTAATGATTTTCAGAACTGCAATTAAATACTGACATAGAAAGAATGCAATGATATAATGTGTAATACAATTTTCCACATACTGTTTTCTTTCCTTTCTCAGTCAAATGTTTCACAATGCAACTTGTTGTTAACTGACACACAAGGAGTAAAATCACTTAAATATTAAATACAGCTTTTATGCATTAACATTTTTTGGGTGTGAGATCATTTTCTGTTTATGCTAAGGAGGAGTCTAATCAGTAAAAAATGTGAATAATTGGACCATACATTTTCAAAGTTATTTTAGTCCTTAGCTAACATTGTATGAGATAGAACTGATGACTATAATTACAGGAAGGATGATAATGCACTAAGAGGCATGCTGTTTCTTTTCTCCTTTTTCTTTTTTTTTTACTTTTTTGTCTCCATAGGATGCATATTACAGATCAAATCTATTCAATTGGTTATGAAGAATGTATGAAACTTTCTATTTCTACATCACCTTATATACTTACTTTAGATACTGATGATAATCAGAAGGATTCTTCTTACAGACCAAGTGGACATTAACAAGTTCCAGAGTAATCAACACTAAGATGAGCCGTAACACCGGAGATAAAAACTTAATGCTAGAAGAGACAAGAGTAAAATAAATGAATTAAAATAAATCCAAATTAATCTGATGTCACTAATACAAAAAAAAAAATAAAAAAATCTCAGATTTCTAGACCCATACTAAATATTTGAGTATTTGATAGTGAGAAAGAACGCAAGAAGTCCATCAGCAAAGAGTAAATGAAATACCTAAATTATAAACAATACAGTAAATTGTGAAATCTCAAAACAAGAAAAAAACCCAACAAATTTAACTAAGACTTCAGAGGAAAACTCACCAGCACCTCTTAACCCAAGGATAATAAAATGGAGATCAACTGAGTTGCGAATATTCATTGTCCATTTAAGCTATGTTTTTTAAATAACGTGGTTTAATATTTTGAGGAAAATAAGTAAAAAAAAAATATTTTCCAGTTTTTTTGAAGTAAATTCATAAATCCTTTAAAAACACTTGTGAATGGGAACAAAATTAATGTAATCCTAAAAAAATCTCTCCAAATCTATCTAAAAGATACTGATTCAGGTATAATGATAAAAAGCAGCAGAACTGGAGAAGGTTGAGTCCTGAAACCAGTTTTACATTCTGTACTCAGGTAAAACTCAAATGCCATTTTTTATGCTTAAGCAGGAAAATTGAGAAATTAAAAACATAGTCTTAAGCGACACTTTCATTTTAAAGCTTAAGGAAAGTAGTGTAGTAATGATAAAACCATCCATTGAACTGTTCCCCAAATTGAGATTTTCTGCTATTTCACTGGGTTGACACTTAACTCTGAAATGATCAATGAGAACACATGAACACTGTGTATTTAAAACTTGTGTGACAAAACACTGAAAACTAGCAACAGCAGCATGCAACTTTCTCATAAACGCAGCCACAAAGTAGAGAGAAAACATCAGCCAACCTGTTCAACATTCGTAGATAGTTATGCCTCTGGCAAGAACGTAGAGTCTTTTCTGTCCACTGTTGGTATCTCAACTTAATGCTGGCAATAACTTGTTCAGACACTTGATGGCACTGTGTGCATATTTTACGGAGTACCACTAACACTTCCAGAACAGGTCTTGGAGAATAGAGTGTGCTAATGTGCCTAGCACAAAGTTCTAGCAACAGTCTTCAAAATAGAAAGTAACTGTTAGTTTCAACCTTTTGCCAGCTGGATTTAACATGAGATATATTTCATATCAGCTGTAGTTTGATATTTGTTTTATTGTAGTTAATGTTTTAAGTTAAAAAAACCTAAAAACTCATTACTCTGACAGAAGAAGTATGGATCTCTGTAGAAGCAGTGACTGTGTTTTCTATCACTTTACATAACATAATTTAAAACCTACTGGTGATGAATATGTTTCCCATTTCAAATTACAGAAATAGAACCACAATAAACAAAAATGCTTAGCCAAAACGATACATCAAGCACACCAAATCAGAGCACTGTGGTTTAGGCCTCCCACAATATTTCAATTCACAATGAATTAGCATCCACCAGAATAAAACCTAATCAAGCAAATGGTATTAGTTAATAGCCACAGCAGCGTACGGTCTTCCGGGCAGAACAAGTAGCAGATTTAACATCTCTTAAAACACTGGCAGTGAGGCCAATGTTTTAATCAACTGCACACTGGATAATAAGTTGTTAAAGCAACAAAATATCTTTCTTCTGTCATTTTCTAATCTGCAAACACAATGCATCACACAGCACTTTAAGCACTCTGCTCTTACAGAAGCATTTCTTAATCTCCCTCATGCCAAAATTATCTGAGACAGCAAAACATTGATGACTAAAAGCAGAAAAATCTTAAAACCATGTAACAATTTACTAATCAGGTTTCTTTTTAATAAATGAGAACAAATGCAGACTGATGGGCAGTACGTAGAAAGCATACAGCTCTTATAAACTGAGCGGTAGTAAACAGAAGGCATGCAATTTATATGAATAACGCAATGTGTACCACCCTCTTTGCACTATCCTGCCCACATCTCTTACATTTGATTAGGTGCTTCGTTCCAACATGTCAATTGATTCGCAAGTTTCTTAAGATTGCCACCAGAGTATCAAGTAAAAGACAAGTTGTTTTGATCATCCACACTCCACATCGATTATATCTGGAACCTCTAAAATGTACCTCTAAATGTACCTCTGAATGTACCTCTAAAATCTGATCACAAGTGTAACAAGGAGTTTTCTATTTCAGAATTTTGTTACTGAAGATGGAGAAATGAATAACTTTGGTTTGAGTGTTCTTGAGTGGTGATCTGCATGTACAAGCTGACAGCAGAAACCAAGAAAAGATCAAACTTACCTCTCTGTTGCAACAGTACTCATTGGGTCATCTGAATTATAGAAGTTACAGGGCAAATACTGCTGCAACTGAGAGAGAATTTCAGCCACCTTTAAAACTAACATACTAGCTTCAGTATTTCCTTCCAACCTCAAAAAATAAAACAAAGAAGTACAATTTGAGATGACAACACTATGCAGTACTTATTTCCTAGGTTGCACAGATCAAAACGCAGATATTTTGGACAGCAGTGTATCTGATATCCACTCTCACTTTCTGCTATTTTAGTTTTCCCTCCATCTTATGACTTTCTTTCTTCAATTAAAAACAGTCTTTTGTGTTCTGTCTTCTTAATCACTTTATTTTTTCACTTATTCATTAAAATCCTGAAGCATACTAGGAATATGCCTGACACATCGTATTTTCATCTCTTAGCTCTACATCAGCACAATTTCTCACAGAGATAATAATAAAACTGACTTTTTCATTTTTAAATCACAAAAGAATGTTGTACTCTTTCATCTATCTAATATCTCATTTAAAATCTGCCATTAATTCAGCTACTACTTTCTTGTTCCAGAACAAGCAATTATTTTCTGTTTTATATCTAGTGACCCATCTTTTTGTTTTTGTTGTGATGGGCTCAACATCTAGCGTAATTATCTAGCGTAATTTCTTAAGAGCTCCTTCAATATCTCTTCACAAATAGAACAGCTACTCAGTTTTGTGTTGGTTTCAAAGGGCTCCAACGTTCTCTTCCAGATAGCAGTGTTTGCAGTTTTTGCAGTATCTTTTGGCTACAGATGCATACAACACAGATTAACTTAAAAAGAAAATGAAGGAGTCTTCCCACAACCCCTTTGGTGTCTAAAATCTTACTAGTAAGGAATCTGATGAGACTTTTAATCTCAAACCCTGTTGTTCATATGTTTTTGAGAAGTATCTTTTCTAAAACAGCAAACACATACCCTTTAAGTGTTTGAATTTGTTCCTCAGTCACTGTTGGTAATTCATGCCACAAGTGAATGCTCTTCATACATTCTAGCACCTAAAAATCATGAATGTGTTATGAAAAAACTTTATGCAAAGTACAGCCTTAGACAAACAGGACAACATACAGGACAATATATTTTATTTTTCTTAGTAGCAATTTTAGCAAAAAAAAAAAAAAAAAAAAAAAAAAAAAAAAAAAAAAACCACAAAAAAACAGACAGAAACACACGGTAAATTAGTTGTTTAGTAGTTATAATTTGTAAGCCAGCACAAATTATTAAAATTATTAAGGTCTATGTTAGGGCAAAAATCCTTCCATGCTAAAATATCACCTGAAGAAACCACTCTACTACTCTTTCTTTCCTTCCTTTGACATTAAAAAAAAAAAAGCCTTTGTAAGATATAATTCAAAAGCTGTCTAAAGTGAGTATTGTTTACTGCAAACCCAAATCAATAAAGAACATCTTCAAGTAGTTCATGAACTAATTGGCTGAGAAATACTGTGGCACTAAAAAGCAACCTTTTCTACACCAAGAAAACTTTAAGTAATTGGCTTTCATATAACAAAAATGTTAGTTGTGGTAGCCCAATCCAAGATTTATACAGTACTTAATCCTTGTCAGGGGCAAGAAGATTAAGAAATCCATAAAGCAGCAACCGTTCAGGTAAAAATAAAGCTATACAGTGATTTGAGCAGGAACAGCACATGCTGTATGTCCAGCCATGTGCTTAGTTACTTCTCAAAGCCTGAAAATTCATTAGGAAAAAAAAAGAGTTATGTAAAATTCTCACTTTTTAGGACCACCAAAGTTTGAAGACAGCAACTAAGACTATTTTTAAAGATTCACAATTTTAAGGACTAAAACGCTTTCAGTTGCAAGGACTTACCTGTTTCTTAAGTCTGGAAATTGGATGAAATCGAGAGCGGTAGCAACTTGCACAGTTCATCAGTGGCTTTATGATCAAGTGTTCCTGATTACAAAATACAAGTTTCTTTAAACTGTCCCAATTGTGAGCAGACCTAGACTTATGCTTATCTGTATTCAAGCCACCTACAGTACTGAAGTCAAAGACTTCCAAATTTCTGAGAGACTAATGCAGCAATCATCAGTTCAAAGCTCAATTTCTCTGACATTTTCCATGTACAAAAGCTGGCAGTAGCTGAGAGGTAACTAATTATGTACTTTCTCAATGCAGCAGCATGAAAATCATCTTTAGAAACTGAAAGAGCTCTAACTAATAAAACTAATAAATAGAAGATTTATCTCAAAGGTTGCTTTACCAGATTGAAAGTAACGGCAAATATGAACAGGAAATTTGGGGGAGTAAATATAATAGTAGTTAACATTACAAAACATGTACTGCTAGACAAAACGTGTACGCAATAAGGAGAGTTAACAAATCACATCTCCATTTCTAAACTACTTCCATTACTTATAGCATGTCAGAGAGAAATAGATTCTCAAACATTACATATCTCTCTAGGTAAGCTACGGTTGTTCTATATAAAATGGACTAACTACCTGAAGAAGGATTGATTAAGCAAACAGATTAAGATACAGTAAGAAAGGATAAACATTTGGAAAACTTTCTGCACTTATTTCACTGCAATCCTAGAAAACATGCTTGCACAGATTTTCACTTAGAGGAATATTTCATTTCAATGGAAAGCTGCTGTCAAGAAAGATGTAGTCATAAGACACTATAAATCGCATCTGTCATCCAACTGCTGACTCTTCTGAAAGCATAATATTGAACCCTACCTTAAAAGCAACCATGTCTTCATCCGAGAACCTGCAGAGTAATGTAATTGCAAACGCCACCAACTGATTGGCTATTTCTCTGGGAAATGCTTTTAGATTGATCTCTCCATGGCTTAAATGGTCTCTTATGCGTGGACCCTCCTGGTGGTTCAAGAAGTCCCAAAGAAATTCCTGTGGAGATATACACCAATAGAGGTAAGCATACAGAGCATCTTCTAAAAGGTAAAAATGCATTTGTATCCATAAGAAAAGGTCCCTTTAGGCATAGAAAACAACGCAACTATGCTCATAAAAAAATAAAAGGGCAGTTAGTCCACTGTGTTAGCTTCTCAGGAAACTTGAAACTGACACACAAACTATTCCATGAACGGCAACAACAGATTTTCTCTGATTTTATGTTGCAAGTCCTCCACCACCTTGCTGCCTCTGACACCCAGTGCAGTGAACTTATATCTTTCTTACTGCCTCAAGAGACCTCTAAATTCAATACCTCTATTTTTCATGTTCACAGTCTTAGGTGGCAATATGTAGGGTGTGCTCTGGCAAGCTTGCAGCTATACTGTTGTATGATCTGCCTACCTAGTACAGGATATGCCCCAGAAGAAACTGAAAAACAGTTTAGCTTTCCTCATATGAGGCATCTGTTTTTCTTCTACTCTCTTCAGCTAATCTTCAGAAGTTACCACAGACAACTCATAGACCTGAACATTTCAGACAGAAAGACATTTAGATTCTAACCAAATGTAACATGTCAGGTACTACTTTGTATCCTTCACAATGTAACAGCAACAAGTTTCTGATACTACGCTTCTGGAGACAGGCAACAAATGACAAATAAATACGCAATCATAAATACACTGCTAAATTTAGGAAAACAAAAACAAACCAACCAACCAAAAAAAAAAAAAAAAAAAAAAAAACAAATAAATGAAAAACGCAAAATAACAACAACAAAAAGAATGTTCAAAACACTTGCCATAGCAGGTTCTTCAAGAACTGAAGGAAGCTGATTGATTTCTTCATTATCCAAATGCTTTGTTAGCATCTAGGAAAAGTCATTTGAAGAGAAAGCTTTTATTGAAAGTAAAAAAAAATCAAAGGAAAAACACTTAAGTAATGAGATTTTCTAATATTAAAGTAATTATTTCAGAGTTGCTTCAGAGTCAAGGTGCCTATTTGTTACTGACAGACTGAGACAATTCAATAATAGCCGTAGGACTTCTGCTTGCAAGGTTTATTTGTATTTATTTTGAATAACTAAGTCTACCAGAAATAATTGTTTCTTTAAGATGAAGAAATATAAAATAAAAACATATAAATAAAATAAAAACACTTAAAAGAATTTGCCCAGAGAAGTTGTGGATGCCCTGTTCCTGGAGGTGTTCAAGGCCAGGTTGGATGGGGCCCTGGGCAGCCTGGTCTAGTATTACATATGGAGGTTGGTGACTCTGCCTGCAAAAGGGAAGTTGGAGCTTGATGAACCTTGAGGTCCCTTCCAACCCAAGCCATTCTATGATTCTATGAAATTAAGTTCTGTTCATTATAACTTGTATGATTTTGTTATGTTCTGAAGGATTCCAAATTTAAAGTATATTTACTGCCCATCATTTTCTACTTGGAAAAATTTAGAAATAGTGCCTTATCCAACTCAACTAGTAAGTATGTTCTGATCCCTACTAATGAGAAACATGTAAAAGTTTAAATGCTGACACTGCTATGAATTTAAAAAATAAAATCAGAAATACCTCATCAAAAGTGGTGTAGAAAGCAGAAGACTGGAATAGAAAACATTATTTGATTATTAATAGAAAACAATTATATAGACATGTGAGTGAATAAATCTAAGTTCAGTATACTTGAGATACCAGAGGTGCATGAATATCAAATAAGCCCTTAAAAAATAAAAAAGAGTGTATTTGATTTTTTTACTTTTTTTTTTTTTCTCCAAATAAATGGAATGTGATCAACTTTCCTCCCTCAAATACCATTCTAGAACACTAACCTTGAAGTACTTTTTCAGACCACTTTTACTGGCAGGCATCTTTTTTCCTTATTTTTTAGTTAAAAAGAAAAAAAATAATCATTAAAATGTACTACAAAAATGTAAATTACGCTCTACTAATTCTCAGATTTTGAGAAAGGAAAAGCTAAATTTAGACACTGTGCTACCACAATAACTACTCTGCAAATATTGCTAGCACCAACTGATTTTAGACAGAAATTTACCTCAGCTGTTAGCAATCTATTAGGACAGTTATTAGTTGTAGTGAAGAGCAATCTAAGTCCAGCTTCCAGCTGAGGAAGTAAGAGAATCACACAGTCAGCATACCTGAAAAAATAACAGAGAAACAATTTCTTCTCCCTCACTTATAAATACAATCCAAATGAAATCTGAGATCCAGGTCAAAGAACCCAGAGCAAAATTTCTTGTTAATGATAGCATATGAAAACTAAATGACTTTATGCACCCAACAAAAGCTGACCCCCTAATTCAAATCAGCTCAGGGATGACACTAACTTACAAAAACATGAATGGACAAGGAAGATGAAAAATACTTATTAAAACAAACAAACAACCTAAGCACTCTAATACATGAAGAGCTGTTCCCATTCGCTTTGTAAAGCACTTCTCCTCAGCTACATCTTCTGCAGATTCAACAAAAACTTCTGGAATCTACAAATGCTGCTGGCTAATTTTCTATGAATCATGAATGCCTTCAAATAAAAATGTAGAAGATGAAAAACAGGAGGAAAAAAAATATCAATGATTACCTACTTTGCTTGAAAGCTGTTAAAGCAGACATCCAAAATGGTAACATTGTTCTTAGCACAAAGTTAGACACTTGCAGTAGCTCTTCCGCTACACAAAGTGTTTCATGATTAAGATCTGCAAGTTAGCAAAATAGCATTGATAAATTACATACAATCTACGGTTTCCTAATTCTTAATATTTCATTGCAAAGATTACTTCAGCATAAGCTATTCAATGCATTTCCAATACAACTGTAATGGTGATAGAAAGATCAGAAGATCTTAAGATCTTAAGATCAGAAATTGAGTTTATAGGGTTGCATTTCTATTAATAATGTAAAACGACACAGTAAGCACAGTTAAAAAGTCATGGGTGCTTTTTCCTGAGACTACGTAGTAACTGCTCCAGTTTCTGTTCAGCTGTTCTCCACCAGCTTCAAATACTTTTGAAAAGTATAGTCTACATTAATAGAATCAGTGTGACATTGTTCCTATGTTATCAAATTTTCTGTACTGACACTTAAGCTGGATATGAGCCAGCAGTGTGCTCTTGCAGCCTGGAAGGCCAACTATGTTCTGGGCTGCATCACAAGAGAGGTGGCCAGCAGGGAAAGGGAGGTGATAGCCCTCCTCTACTGTGCCCTTGTGAGGTTCCATCTGGAGTACTGTGTCCAAGCCTGGGGCCTCCCTCCAATAGGGGAAGGATGCAGAGATGTTGGAAATTTTCAACTGTTGATATACAGAACTTTTCCTGAGGTAAGTATCAGGATACTGAAGATATGTAACCATACTCTCTTTCACCACAACCTTTGCTGCAAGATGCAAAGTACTCCTGACGGGACCCTTGCTGCTAGAATCCACTGATTCTGGAAAGAGTTAAAGATTTTTGAAAAAAACAAAACAAAAACAAAAAAACAAACAAACAAAAAAAAACAAAACTAGCTGACTATTAAAGGAAGTGAGTTCTCATCATCAAAACATTGAAACATATAGCTGAAGTCTTTCATAAGCTGCACTATTAACACATTTCAGCATGTTACATCTATTTTAGAATTCAGTATATTTTGTTTTGTTAATCAGTACAACAGTCTATATATTAAAAAGTTGTCTACGGTGTTTACAAGCACAACTGATTCACCTAAAGACATTATTATATATGTATCTTACCTAAAAGATTCAGTCATCTAACTGGAAAACACATTACTTTCAATAGCACTTCTAGACAATGAAACAATAAAGAACATAGTAATAAGTAATGACTAAAGGTTAAATACTTGCCTGGAAATGCATCAAGATCCTCTAATCTAAAGAAGGTCACATAAGGTCGATGTACTAAAACATATTTAGTTTTCAGAAGATATGTCTGTAACAACTGACCCAATCCTGCAGTTAAAAAAAGCAGCATAGCACAATATCTAGGGAGAATATTAAAACATATTAGAAAAGCTAATACAACAAAATCTTTTACAAATAATCCACATTTCTGGGTTAGGGACAAAGGTTTCTTTTGCTCTTTCAAACAAGATTCAGTCCGTATTTCACCCACCCCTTTTGGGTAAAGGAGCTAAATGATTAATTGCGTTTTACAAGCATGATAAAACAATGTGGAATAAGAAGAAAAAAAAAAACAACTCTTCGGCTGCTGCTGCTCCTCTTCCTTTCCTATTCTTCTGCCTTTTGTTTTGATTTATTCCTGACTGCCCAGACCTTACATTTTTTCATTTTTCCTGACAGAAAAGACACACTGTTTCTAAAGCTGATTGGTTTCATAATGGCTGAAGTACTCTATGGAAATCTAGTTCCAAAAGAAGTGGTAGCAGCAGCAGGACAAAATAGAGAAAACTGTCAGGATTCTGCCAAAAGCCTTACAGAATGTTTTTGTTTTTGTTTTTTTTTTTTTTCTTTTTGTAAGAGTAGCAAGTTTTATTAATCAATTCTCAAGCACTGTTAGCCTGACTGGATGAGAAAATAAGACTTTTTTTTTAACAACTTACTTTGCAGGAATTTCTTGTGGGGATGCAAACCCATGCCACAAAACATTACGAAGATTCAGACCATACGGTGATCCAATGAATATCCTGAGTACATCCATCTAATTAATAAACAAAGTGATTACTACATGAAGAAATTTATTATTTATTACTTCGTGTCTTGCCCTGACAAGAAATTCAAGAAATTATTGAGAAACTATAATATCTACTGTCAAGACAACTGGCCACAGCTTGTCATAGTAACTGCAACTCATTATTTGGAATTCCCATTACTCTCTGAAAGGAAATCTTAACTTACTCATACACGCTATAGAATACAAAACAAAAAGAACAAAACTGCTAAACATGTCAAACAGTTATGACAGGGAAACAAATTAATTCAAGTTGAGCTTTTACTTATCATACTATAAATCCACAATAATTTAGTATGAATTAACATAAAAAAGAAGAATCTGCATTCAAAGTTGTATTCCCAGTATTCCATTGGGAAAAAGGAAACTTTTTAATAGTAAGAATTAATCTACTCCACATGGAACTACAGCTCAAGGCATAATCCTTACAAAACTACTAGATTGGCTAACACTACACATCCAATAATTTGTCCTTGTATGGGAACTACTGAGTCACGGGCTGAACCTCTGATTGATCACTTGAGGCGAGCCATGAGTCAGCCAGAGGAGCACAGCTGATGGCAACTGGCCTTCTAGGCAAGTGCCTCCTAGACCTATTTAAGAGCTGGCTACCAGTAGGGAAGGATCTTGTCTGGAGATCCCTCCTTCTGGTGTTTTGTGGTGAGCTCAGCATAAGGGTAAGCCTTCCATTTATTCTCTCTTATTATCATAGTCCACTTTGCCTAACTCTCTTGTTTATTTTGTGATTGTAACATCTTGATATCCATTGATTATACAGTCCTTAAAAAAAAAAAATATTGTATTTATAGAACAGTATAAAAGGGACCATCTCCTCTGCTTACACAAGAAGGTAAGTGTCTTCAGAATTTTTTATTATTATTTGCAAATGGCAATAGACAAACCAGTTTCCTCTATTCACATAAATTGCATTGTGGTCAATATTATAAAGTGTTTTACTACAGTGGTGATGAAAGGGAAATTATCTTACAAGTAACTGCCACTGCAAGACATATGTTCTCAAGTTGCACAACTCAAAAAGAGGCAGACAACATTGTGGCTTGCTTACCCCCTTGCCAGATATGGGACGTTTTAAGTATGTGGTTTTTTCACATAGAAAAGCAATTTAAAAAAAATTATGGGCTACCCTTTAAAATTATTTCAATTTACAGAATCACCAAGGTTGGAAAAGATCTTCAAGATCATCCAGTCCAACCATTCACCTATCACCAACAGTTCTCTCTAAACCAAGTCCCTCAACACAAAATCCAAACATTCCTTGAACACCTCCAGGGTCGGTGACTCCACCACCTCCCTGGGCAGCTCGTTCCAGTGCCTACAATTATAATATTCACTATTCACATGTATGTAATGGAAGTCTTCCCAACGTATTACAGAACTTGAAACTTTTCCTTAGCACAGGCAAAGACTATGACTGGAAGCCAGGCCAAGAAAAAAAAAATTCAGCTCAATATTTGTTATTGATTTCAGAACTATGCACTTACTACAACTTGTCCAAAAACAACTGCAAGCTGCTCAGAAGCAAGCAAATCTCTTAGAAGGAAGGGACAATCTTTACCAATCAGTAAATGTACCTATTGAAAAAAAAAAGTAGAAGTGATTATAACATAAATAATTCAATATATTTATTTGTATTTCAAGCATAGACCTTGACTAATTTCACCCAATAAGCTTTTTCATTGTTGTAAAATCACTAATCAAACATAACCCACCAACTGAAAAATCTTTCAATTCTAAAGTTTCACTACAAATTAAAATCTATGGCCTGCATCAGAGAAGAGTGTATATCCTATTTGACGTTCCCATGGTTATGATATTCACAGTACCTACAGGCACATTCTTCTCTCTCCACTGCTCCAAGAAAAAAAAAAAAATTAAAATTGAAAAAAGCAAGAAAGCAAGCACAACACCATGTAATTAAGGGAATTTTTAATTACTTCAAAAATTCATAACCCTTTCAGACTTGGAAAAAACTGTATTTCTAGATGTGAACCTTTTGTCTTCTGCCCTTTCCTCATAGAGACTCAACAACCAGTTACTCTGTCTCATCTATGGGCAACATACTCTGACAAGAAAGCAAGATGGGGAGAGGTAGGAAGGAGGTGATTTCCCCAAGAACAAAAAAACAACAGGTGTTCCCTTTTCCCTAGCCTGCATGCCAACCTTAGCAGTGGTGGCACCTTTGTGATTTATGGAGTAAAAACGGAATCGATCCAGTTGAAAAATAACAATGAGAGTGTGGGGGGAAAAAAAGGAGGAAAGGAACTGAGACCAGTTAATCAATTCCAACATTTGTCTTCAAACATTTGTGCTCACATAACACACAGTACTATCACTGAAGATGTGGCCAGGCTGCCACACACCATCACACTACAGGATAATCTCCCTTTTGTGCAATTAAATCTAAGAATTTATTCTCATCTTATAAAACCAAACCTGCAATTGAATCTTCATAGTGGCACTTACATCACCCAAAGCTCTCTCCAAGCACGATGTTAGTTTCATTAATCCAAGAGCAACTTCTGTAGATTGGGCATATTGTAGAACATCAAACACTTCAAGAAATAACTGTGTGATTTGGGAAGGGGGGTTGGAGAGAAGAAGAGTGTTGAATTACATATTCAGAAGGAGAAATCAAAATCACACAAAAAATATGATCTAAATATTCATATGCGGTAGTCACTATGCAAATACAGAAATAAAACCACGCCGAGGTGATCAAACTGTGGATGATTGAAGGGTTACTGTCCACACCTCCTGTATTTTCAGTCAAAACTTATTTAGTACAATACATCTAAAAAAAACTAACAGTGACTTTGCATAATAGTATTTGATATTAAGCACAGACCAGTAGGTCTTACAGAAAAAGAAGATACTACTATCTTTGGTTAGAACAGACCCTATATGTATATATAAATATATATATCTAATTACTGAGTCAGGAAAATTAGAAGTGACTATATAAGAGAAGGACAATTAGAAACACATTTTGGATTGTTGATCTCTTTTGTGTGTTCTTATGAAAAACTTCCAACAGGAGGTCATGTGCCAAAATACAACTGTCAACAGATATTTCCATACCTCTGCGTAGTTTGTCCACTGGAACCACAATGCATACTGAACTACAAATTTGTCCTTGGTCAGAGATTTGAAGTGCAAATTAACAGATTCACATACAGGTCCAAGAGATCGTATGCTTTTTATATAATCCACACTTCGGTCTTGAATTGAAAAATGGGATGTGGTTAGAACCAAACTTTCTGAAGGTTCTATATTTTAAAAGTCATAACAAGTAAAGCCTCCAACAGTCTGTATATACATTTAGCTCAAACATTTTTATCTCTGTTAGTTCAGCACAAGCAGTAAATTACAATTTACTGTCCAAAAGAACAGACAAATGAACTACAGAAAAGTGCATTGTAAAACCAGATTCAAATGCCTTCTCCAAAACAAAACTTAATATAAGAAAACACAGAATTGAAGTTCTATTTATGTCCTAATATAACACATCTAATTATGCTCAATTTTTATTGAAAGTGGAAGAATCCACTAGTAAAAGAGCGCAGCAATTGCACATAACCAAGCTGGAAGCTACTGCAGGCTTTGAGGTCTTAATCAAGCAGCACCACTTACATCCTTTAAAGAATGCAGATTGATGTGGTACCCTACAGAGTGGTATAACTGCTTCTCTTGGGTGGCAAACTTCTCCTGACTCATGGAAAAATATTGCCCAGGGCAGAAATATCTACCATTTTGACCACTTCAGCAAATTAGCAAAAGCTTGCAGTTTGGCAAATGAACAATCAGTTCATCAGAATAGAAACATTTTGTTCTGCTTAAAAAAGCATAATTATAAGCTGTTCTATATACAGAAGGGAGAACAAATAATACTTCTGTACAAGTGAAAGATGAAGAAAAGGAAACAAAAACAACAGTAGCCCTACTGATGACTCCCAGGTGTTTTAAATTTACTGCAAAAGGCATAGAAAGAACATAGAAGAAAACAAGTATGAGCCATGAGAGTGGCAAACTCCTTACGTACAAGCAAAAGGACATGGGAAACAAGAATGGGGAAACAAAAATTGAACTATCTATGTAGCACAGATTACATGGATCTCAGGAGTCATCTATAACCAAATACTAGAAATGGATAAAACATTTAAAGCTCCCTGTAAATAATAAATGTACATATTCCAGCAGAAAAGCTAACGCTATACCAAAATAAAATACTACAACTAAGTTCTGAGTACTGTGATACTGTAATGAGATTCTACATCAGCTGTAAACATCTTTTCATCGTATCAGAGTAATACCAACCTGATTCAAGATAATGCACGTGCTCTGTAATAGATTGCCAACATACTTCTCCATTTTCAGACACAATATTATTAATATCATAGATGTCTTTTTTCTCAAAGCCAAGTTTGCAAATCACATAATGCACAGGTGAAGAAAGACAAGTTGTGACTGAGTCTGATGATGCCATCTGGAAAAGGAAGGACAGAATCACTTTTATTTGAATAATTTCAGTTTGGTATTGTATGGGAACTGTTGAATCGTGGCCTGAACCTGTGATTGATCACCTGAGGTGAGCAATGACTCAGCCGAGGAGCACAGGAGGAACACTGCCGGAAGGTGGAGCCTGGCTTCATCTCTCCTAGACCCATTTAAGAGCTGACTACCAGTGGAGAAGGATCTCTTCTGGAGATCCACTCCTTACAAGTTTCATAAGTGAGCCCAGAATACAGGTACCCATCTTATCTTTTCTGCTTTGGTGTAATAACTGTGTAGCAAGCTCTCTGGTACATCTCATAACTATAACATCTATACATTCATTGATTGTATAGGTATATTTCAGATGCATTCTACCTACCATACTAATCACAAGGAAGAAATTCTTTAGTCAGAGAGTTGTGAGGCACTGGTACGGGCTGCCCAGAGGCTGTGCATGCCCCATCCCTGGAGGTGTTTAAGGTCAGGTTGGATGGGAGTGTGGGCAGCCTTAGCTGGCTGGGGGCAGCACGGTCCATGGCAGTGGGTTGGAACTGAGTGGGTGCTGGTGTCCCTCTGACTCAAACTATTTTGTATATAAGGGGTGCTCTGAAACAGTACCTCCTATTTCGTTGGCTCATAATGTCAAAAGTGGATGTTGGTGGTATGGCAGTCTAGGTTGAACCTTCCCACCAATATTCTGCTATGTTTTGTTGCTGCGTGACAGAAGGCAGCAGAGGAGTAGTCTGACCAAATAGCATTTGACATGGAAGTGCATATGAAGAAAGGGAGTGGAACTGAATTCCTCTATGCAAAAAAAAAAAAAAAAAAAAAAAAAAAAGTAAAAAAATAAAAAAAAATTGCACTCACTGACATTCATCAATGCTTGCTGTTCATTTATAGAGACCAAACAGTGGATATGGGGCAGTGGGTGGTGCGTTTCAGCAGTAGTGACTGCAACATGAAAGCCAAGCCACATCCTGGACAGCCATGCACATCTGTCACACCACGAAATGAAACATCTCAATCAGCTCATCCATGCTAACTGGCTACTGGCAGTGACTATATTGAAAAATCGTGCTTTGAAGCTGCAAATGTGTTCTATCAAGCAATGTTATTGCACCCTTTGTCTCTGCTGTAGCTTTCCTAACATAAATAAGAAACAAATAGGAGGGATTACTTTCAGAGCAATCTATGCAGACAGACTGAAGATCACCGCCTGCATGTGAGCTCTGCACACCCCCTGCTGCAATCAGGTGCCATCTGCTGTACCCAGCCTGCTATTAACCTAAGATGGCCGCGAAACATCGTTCGACAAACGCTTAATTGGGTCCTTCGCTCCGGATTTCACCGCCAGAGCACCACGCGAACCGCAGCAAACTCCGCTGCGCAGAGCACAAGGGACGAGGCCTCGGGGAACCCCGCAGCGCCCGAGAGCGGAGCGCTCGCACACCCGCACCGCGGCGGCCGTCACGGCCATTACCTCCGCTGCTGCCGGGCCCTCCCGCTCAACGTCACGGCGCGCTGCCGGAGCGCAGCGTCACGCCGGCCGCACGCGAGCGTGGCCGCTGCTCCCGGCGTTGGGAGCAGAGCGGAGGTGCACCCTCCGGCCGACCCCTCCTTGGGAAAAGCGGCGCTGCCAGCTGGCAACCATGGAGGATTCCTCCAACGTGTCGAAGTTGTCCGCCACCGCCCACAGGCTAGGAAGGCGGCGAACGAGCGTGTGGGATAGAAACACCGTGAGCGGCCGGGCCGGGAGGACGGGTGTGAGGGAGGCGTGGCGGTCATCGCGGCCGCGCCCGCGAGGGGCGGTGATGGCCTCCGGCAGTTCTGTATGTGAGGGACGAGCGTGCCCTGTGCTTGGAGAAATACTCCGTTTGTGTAACTTTAAAGCAACTCTTGTTAAAGCTGCCCTAACAACAAGCAGTATTTCGTTCACATGAGCCGGCAGTGTGTGCCCCTGTGACCCAGAAGGCCAATGCGATCCTGGGGTGCATCATAAAGAGAGTGGCTGGCAGGTCAAGGAAGGTGATTCTCCTCCTCTGCTCTGCCCTGGTGAGGACATGTGGAGTACTGTGTGCAGTTCTGGGCTCCCCGGTTCAAGAAAGACAGGGAGCTGCTGCAGAGAGTCCAGCAGAGGGTCACAAGGATGATAAGGGGTCTGGAGCATCTCCCTTATGAGGAAAGGCTGAGTAACCAGGGTCTGTGCAGCCTGGGGAAAAGAAGACTAAGGGGATTTTATCAATGTTTATAAAAATCTGAAGAGCAAGAGCTATGCGGTTGGGGCCGAACTCTTTTTGGTGGTGCCCAGCAACAGAACAAGCAACCTGGGCATACACTAAAACATGAAGTTCTATATATATATGAGAAAAAAATTTACTTTGAGGGTGACAGAGCACTGGAACAGACTAGAGGTTGTGGAATCTCTTCTAGAGATCCACCTCCATCCACCTGGATGCTTTCCTGTGCAACTACTGTCCAGAACCTGCTTTAGCATGGGGTTGAAATAGATGATCTCCAGAGGTGCCTTCCATCCCCTATAACTCAGTGTTATCCTTCATTTTGTGAAATGCCAAAATCTTTGTTTTCTAATCATAGTGATATTCATATGTCCAAAACTAAGCTTCTCCCAGAGTCCAGGAATACAAAACAGGCTTTAGTACAGGCTTTAGTAGGTTCAATGCAAAATCAGTTTGTGTGGCTCTGATAGATTCTTTCAATGAAGGCATAGATACTGCATAGAAATGTAATCACAACACAACATTGTGCTACATTTTGGAACCCCATGCTAATGCACATGAAGAAGCAAATGGTAAAATTCAGTGTTTGTATTGTGAAATACAGTAGTACGTTTCCTTGTTAGCCCTTTGGATGTCTTAGTTACTGAATTAATGAAGTTAACACCTGTGGAGAAACTGTTAGATCACATCTTGAACTGGTGATTGAGCACCTGGTGAAGGGGTGTGGTTGGCCTAGGGAGCATAGGCAAATTGACCAGAAAAGGTGGATCCGTGGTGGAGATACAAGATACCCTTGGCTCATATAAGAGCCAGACACTGGAAAGAAGGCATCTTTTGGACCTAGGCTGCTTCTTGTGAGGGAGTGCTGCAGTAGCCAGAAAGCTCCTTCACCTGTTGGGTGAGTTCTTTCTGTAAATAACTGTTGGCTTACCTATGAATGCCTTACCTAGTATTGCCAAGAACCTGTCAAAAACAATTTCAATTCTTCATGAGCAGAACAGCACTGTATAGAGATGACGTTGGTGATATCATTGGTAAATGGTTTCTTGCAGGTAAGGAAATGTCTGTGGAAGTTTCTGTTATTACTGCTAGCTGTTAAACTTTAGGTAATAGCACTATTTGAAGTCACACACTGTAGATATGTTTTCTTTTATCTACAATTGTAGAGGCTGAAGATTTTTGTGAATGGTGTTCAAATGTGTTATCAATGAATTGCTTTTTAGATTGTGACTGCTTTCACAGGTTCAGTTCCTTTGAAATGGTTTGGGATGCTCATGAACTGGCTCAGATAACAATTTATTAATATATATATTAATATATATATATATTTGTGTGTGAATATATATATTGTATGTGTGGTGTGTGTGTATGTGTGTGTATATATATATATATATATATATATATATATATATATAAGTCCTCTTTTAAGAAGACCTGCAATGAGCAGGTAAAGGCTAACTCTTCAGAGTTTTGAGTTTCAGATTAGCAGAGTCCACAACCTGAGTGGAACTTGTCTACTTACGTCTTAGTGCAGTATCAGAACTTTTTAGAGCTCAAATTGTTGACATTAATCTTTTTTTCTAGAGATATTAAATACTTTCCTGGATATTTTCCTGTTCAGCATACTGTAGGGAACCTGCTTTGTCAGGGGAGTTGGATGTTGTGACCCCCCTCCCTCCGAGATCCCTTTTAACGCCTACAATTCTGTGATGTGGTAACAATGCTTGCAGACAGTTTGCATAAGGGCTGCCAGTATCCTAAATAGCTTTTAGCAGAATTAATCTAATGTTAAGGAAACAGGAGATATAGGTGTAGGTAATGTCTTTCGTGTTAACATGGCTAATGTTTAAGTGACATCATAGAAACTATTTTGCTTCCCTTATTTTCAGACTCCTCTGGCTGAAATACTTGTGAGCCTCTGAGTAATGCGTCTTCTCAAGAAAATTGTACTACATTTTTGTGTTACCCATGTTTGTTCTATTTGTTCTGTTCCTTTTAGCGTAAGCCCTTCACTGTGGTTTTATACCCTCTTCGTGCTCTCTCCTTAAAGGTAGCTGGTAACTTTCTCTGGTTTAAATTTTCTCTGTAGTCAGGAAGTAGAGCGAGGGACTGAGGAACTGGGGATGCTGGGAAGTGGATACAAGGTAGCTGGTGTGGATGACCGCTGACTGTGGCTTTTGTTGCAATCTCACTGGTTCTGTGCGCTTTTGTCATCTTACTGTTCAATGGTTGTTGTTTAAGCCAACCATGGGAGACAGCAGGTGGTGACATCAGTATGTATCATTAGACCTGCAGCTTGTATTTGTGGAAGGCCAACTTTGTTTTTGTATTGAAGAGAATTATGTTACAGAATCTGGGTGAGGAGAAGATCTGGATCTTCAGAGTTCTGAGGACTCACAAAAAGAATTGCTATCCCGCTTTTAAGTTCCAATCAAAATGACAAAGCTTGCACATTGAAGTACATTTTAAATTAGCAGATGAAGACGTTAACTCATAAAACATTTGCTTAATAGGACAAGTAAAATTTCCTAGTAAACAAACCAAATGTGTATTTTAGGTTTTGTGTACAATGTTTGAATGAGAATCTTGAAAGTCTTGAGCAGGAGTTTGTGGAGTTTTCCTCTAAACCCAAAATGGATTTTGGGTAGTAGTATGGCATGTTTTTTTGTTGTTTTGTTTTGTTTTTTTGTTTTTTTTTAAGCTGATATTAAGTACAAACTTAATTTTAGTTTGTGTAAAAGAAATGAAAATTGAGCAGAAGGAAAGTACTATTCTACTTTTCAGTGAAGGTAGTGGTCTCAAAACAGCCTGAAAAAAAATCTATGAGTTTTCCATGACACACTCCTAGACTGTTTTGTTGTTGTTGTTCCCTCTTATCTACTCCCACAAGATATTTTCTAGAAGCCATTAAACACTAGATCATTGATATGTAATGCAGTTTTTTTTTTTATTTTGCACAGATGAAAGGAAAGATGAAGCTATCAAATTATGAAGGCTTAGCCCCTATGAAAGAAGAGTGTTTTAGTGGTTCATCAAAAACTACTGCAAAAATAAAATATCTTAATACGTACAGACTGGAACCATATAATAAATTTCAGGATCGGTTAGTAAGAGACAAAGCTCAAGCAATATTAATGGTATAGTATTTTTTTTATGAACTGTCTTTTTTTTTTCCCCAATAGTAGTTTGTGACTGTATAAGCAGAACATTGGAAGTTGCTTAAATATATGCATAGGTCTTAGCAGGCATTGTTTTGGCACACATGTAGTATAAATGTGCTCTGTTCTGCAAGGTGCAGAAGGCTTTCTGCAAGGTAGTCACAAAGCATATGCTGTTAACATGGAGCTGAAGCTCTTTGCACTCCTTCCCACTTCTTAAATGAAGTGAGATACAGCACAGTTCAAAGTAGCCTGATCTCCAAAACATCCAGATAACCAACTTGTGGAACTATGCTTCAATTATTTCTAGTACTATCACATGAATTGCGTAAAATATTTGATGTCCTCAACAGTCTGACCAATGTGTACAAAAGATAAGCAGGAAAAAGTGGGAGCAGTTTGTTAAAATGTAGCTGTTAGTGATACCTTGAAAAGCTACAACCAACTCCTGTAATTCTGAAGACCTGCCTTCAACTGGTATTTGCAGCACTCTCTTCCAGTGAGGTGTCCCCGAAATTTGGAGATAAATAATACGCCCCTGTTCACTGAATGGAGATAGGTTGGACGTATTTAATTCTTTACTTTCAAAAAATAGACAAAACATTTTTTGAGTGAAAGTAGTGCAGCATTTCCTGTTTGTGAGCATCATTTCTACTTTACGGTTTGTTTTACTATTTTCTTTTAAAGAAAATGCCTGTAAAAATTTCTTGCAAAGGACTCCCAGGATGAGAACTAAGATCTTTCAACGTTGTTTTTGATAGAATAAACTTCAACAAGCCAAATATGATGCAGATTCTAGTCCATCCTTGTGTGCTTCACTCTCAGAAGAAATATTAAAGGCTACAAAGGAAATGGGCTTTGACCGTTATAAATACGTGGTAACAGTGCTAATTGTGGAAAAGGCAGGCCAAGCAATAAATGTGAGCAAACAAATTATTTATAATATCTTTTGAGAATTGAAAACAACCTTTAGAACTGTATGTTATCTCCTTGGCATTATTCTATATTCAACAAAGTAATGAGAAGTGGGCTTGCAGCTGTCAGGTTCCATACTTGTATATGGGGTTGGATTTCTTTAATCTTAATTTCTTTTCTTCTTCTTTTACTGAGGTCAGTAACAGTGGTAAAGCAGCCCATGCATCTCTGTCAACCAGATGTTTCCACTCTGCCCTATGCCAGTATAACTGTGTGAAGGCAGTGAATATTTCTTTTTTCCAGCGAACGTTGATTTCCAGTTGGGTCACCGTATGCAAGTGCGAAATGCAGTGCAGTTGCTGTAGCATGGGGTGACGTGGAAAGGAATAGATGCCAACAAAAGGAAGGGAAACTGTTTTAACTGCACGTGCTGCCAAATGGATGCTGGTGGGACCACAACTTGATAAGAGTGATCTGAGCTTAGTACACCCAAAGCAAAAGCATTTCAGACTGCAATTTTCATGTGTAAATTTGCAGTGCTGTAAGCTTACTTTGGCATTCTGTGCTCTTTTTGGTCTCTTCCTGAATGCTGAAGAGCACTTGTAGTTATGAGTGTTGAGCATCACCTCTTAACACCTTGTGTCTTTCTAAGATGAAATCATGCCTTGTTTCTAATGTACATTGTGAAACAATATTTGAAAGGATGCTGTCTTCAATCTGTGAAAGGCCTTTCTCTACCCACGTTCCCAGTGCTGTGTCACAGTATGCTGCTTCTAAATCTGTGCTGTGTGGGTGTGGAGCTGTAGGATGTGATAGTTTACTCAAATGCTCCAAACTTTTTTTTTTTTTTCCATGAAGAATATGCTTATTTCAGCAATCAATTTTCACAGTTTAGATTTGAAATGAATTCTACAAAAAAAAAAAAAAAAAAAAAAAAAAAAGTCAAGCTCAGAATAGCTGCAAGTATACTTGAGTAAGCTGCTGCTAGAGGTGGAGGGGAGCAGCTACTTCTTAGCTCACTTTGTTGCCAGCACTGGTGTCTCTTGGCGTTATGGTCCAGTATGCTGAAGTGCTGTCAAGTGAACATGACAGAGAACTGAGGTTTTGGTGTAGACATGTTTGGGTCTGTTGTGGTGGGGTGTTTAATGTGAAGGAAGAATATGCATTTTAGTATCAAATAGCACTTGTTTGTTTTCACTATCATTGTGCAGTTCTATTCGTAGCTATCATAATGCAATTATATCAGAGCTTGTGAGATGCTGTGTGTTCTTCCAAAATATAAAAATAGTGTTATGAGTAACTTCAATCATAGCTTTGCCTTTTCTTTCCTTTAGGTCGCCAGTAGATGGGTCTGGGATGTTCAAAGAGACACCTGGATTTCGGCTAAATATGAAACTGAAACATTTATTGCACTGGCTTTGATAACAGCTTGTTATTACGAGTGACACTCCCAAGATGACGCACCTGCTTCTGTGCAGCACAGTACTTGGTATATTTGAAAATTTTCGGAACATCCGCTTACCAACAGCATCAGTCCAAAGTCTAGCACAAAAATAACAAACCTGATGTGATAGTTGAGAAAATTTTGACCACTTTGCTTTGTAAAAATAACTTCTGAAATGTGTAAGGTTGAGTACATATGGGCTTCGTCTGTTGTAGCACTCTGCTGTGAAAGTCGGAGCAACTGGTGGAAAGTTGAACTTCAGCAAATTTTGAATGCTGCTTGTCTGTTGTGTGCATTGAGTTGTTAATGAATACTTACAATAAATTGTAGGTAATGGTTCTCTTGAGTGTGTGCTTTTTTGAAAGAGAAGGCAGTGCGTTTTTTTTATTTTTATTTTTTTTTTTTGGTTTTTTTTTTTTCGTAGCTTTATGACAAAATGCCAATTTAGGTAGAAATGTTAAGGGGGAAGCCATCTTTTGCGTGCTTGATTTGTGTGAATTTCCACGTATGCTCCTGCAAGGGGCTGAGTTTGGTTATTAACATCCTTGAGTATTAGTCTTTTGCTAAGTACTACTTACTTTTGCTAAGCAGGGCTGAGGCAGGTGGGTAAATGCTGAATTCAGCAAGCAGCTTCTCGGGGCCAGGGCAAGAGGACACCGTGCTTAGCAGCATGGCTATTGATAACGGGCTGTAGAAGGCAAGCACAGTGAGAGCTAATAAGGCAGACCTGTGAGGCCCCCAGAGAGACCTGCTTTTAGAACTGCGGAACGTGGGATGGAAGCGCTGACACCATTTCTATTGTTATGAGCTCCACGTAAATGTTTGAGGCTGTAGGTTTTACCCCTGAACGTGCCGGGGCTGTGCGTACCGGCCGTGCGGAGCGCTGCCCGAGCCGAAGGCTCAGGCAGGAGCGGCTTCGTTGCCGGCCGTGCGGCAGCTTCCCCGCCCGCCGCGGCGGCCCAAGGCGGGGGATTGCGGTCCCCGCGTGGGAGTGGCTTCTCGCTTTGTTCTCCGGTGCGGTGCGGGCGGGGCTGCGTGCGGGCCGAAGTGCAGCGCGGACGGGGGCTCTCCTGCCAGGTACGGCTGCGGGAGCGGCGCCGGGCGCGGCCGGAGGGGGTGCGGGCTGACGGCGGCGCGCTCGCTCCTTCCGCGCAGCGGCGGGGCCGGCTTCAAGCGCCCTCCTCGGGGGGGAGAGCGCTCGCACCGGCTTCCTGCGAGTGCTCCCCCCCGCCCCCCGTACACCCCTCCTGCGCTGGTGGATGGTTCACAAACGTAGCTCGTCCCCGGCTGACGTGCCGGAGACGGAGCAGCCCAGCCCTGCCGGGGCCAGCTCCCGCGCCGGACGGCGGCGGCGGCGCTCGGCGCCCACCACGCCCGGGGGATGCTGCCCCTGCGCGCCGCGCTGCTGCCCAAGCGCTGCCGAGGCGGATCGGCCCCGCGCTCGCGGCTGGGCCGCGCGGCCGCCCGAGCGGCGGCGGCTGCGGCG